GGGGGGGGCCGGGGAGATAGCTCAGTAGAATAAGCGCTTGCCCGGCAAGCACAAGGGCCTGAGTTCAATCCCCAGTTCTGCAAAAAAAGAAAGAAAAAGAAAAAGAAAAGCAATGAAAGAAGGCTAGAAAAGGCTAGGGGAAAAAAAACAGTTGCTTGAATCAGCACTAACTTAATAAAGTGTCACGGTAAACTGAATAACTCTGAGTTCTGTGTATAGCAAATGAAAAACAGAGACAAAGAGACAGACAGAAAAACAGAGTCAGACAGAGAGACACATAGAGAGACAGAGATACACATAAAGAGAGAGAGAGAGAGAGAGAGAGAGAGAGAGAGAGAGAGAGAGAGAGAGACTGAGAAAAAGGAAAACAGGAAGCTATATAGATAGTACAGACTAGGCCATTTCAAACGAATCTGGAGTTTATTTTGGTGGTGCTGGGGATTGAGCCCAGGTCTTCAGCCATGACAGGCAAGCACCTGAACTATATCCTAGCCCTGAAAATGTATTTAAAGACAGTCTTTTGCTCAAAGTATGAAACCCTCTCATTAAAAAGGAAGCCTTCCTCATCCTGCAGTATTTTTTTAATGTCTAAAACCAATCATCAAAGTATATTACATTTCTTCCTGCAGCACTTTTCTTTTTATAACCAAGTCAATTTTATAAGCTACTAGGAAAAGGAGAGAATAGGCCACTCAGCCCTGGTTAGAGCTGCTGCCACCACCAGGCGCACCAATGCCCCACGAGCCAGCTTTCCATGTGGGAGCCCGCTCTGCACACGGGGCAACTGCTCACAAGCTGTAAGCCAGGCCCCCTTCAATATCAGCTTTCCTTTCCCATCCTCCAAATCCAGTGGCCTGTTCTCCTTTGATGTCACCATCAACACTGTAAGGTGCTTGGCACAAAATCCAGACTCAGTAACTTGCCATGAGATTGCAGCAGCGACACCAGCCCTGGACATTCTCTCCTTTCTTGGTATCTGTGAGACTCACTGTCCTAATTCACCTTGGCCTTCACTCTTTCCTCTACCCTAGCTCCCTTTCTTCACTTTGAAAACAGGTCAATGCCAAGGGTTTTCTGCACATTTTCTTCTTGCTTTTACCTCAGTTGTTTCACTTCTTCCTTTAGTTTTAAACAAATGCCTCCTTCTCTATACGTACCTCCTCTGTTCAGAGACTTCTCAAGATTTGAACCTTTCCTCCAAACCCAGCCTGCACTCAGTCACTTTCCTATGGGTGCCCCAGTCTTGTAATAAAGGATCCCGAGTGTCCCTTCCCATCCTAAAGTGTCACTCAGCATGTCCACGTGACAAGGGACAGAAGGCAGCCAAAACAAGGACAGAAGGGGATGCTATGGAGCCATAAGGCCTGGGTTCATTCAGAAAACTGCCACCAGGACTGTCGTTTCACCCCCTTGAGATTTAGTCACCTCCTCCACACAACATGCAAAAGCAAGCCAGGAATGGTGGCACACACCTAGAATTCCCACACTCTGGGAGGCTGAGGCAAAAGAATCAGAAATTCAGTACCAAACAGGGTAATTTAGAGATCTAGCAGGACCCTGTCTCAAAATATAAAAGGGCTGCGAGTGCAGCTCAGAGCAAAAGCCCTGAGCCTAATACCCAGTACTGAGGAGGAAAAAAAAACAAGCTATTCCAAAAGGCTGTTGTACAGATTAAATAAACCCTCATCTGTAATGTATATATCTGGCCTGGGTCATACTGAAAGAGCAAGTATTAGTTCTCTTCCCTAATCTTTGCTACACACCAGTTCCTCCTAACAGAGTCCATTTCTGTCAATGCCTTCTTTGTTTTGAGATGCAAAACCTTGCAGTCAACTTTGACCTGTCCTCACCCCTTTCAATCAAGCCAGTTGCTACAGCCTTCTTTTGAATTTTCCCCATTATTTTTTGCTTTGTTTTGTTTGTGATTGTTCATTTCTTACCACTGTCCCTGCAGTAACCACTTCTGTTAGTTATATGCACTTACATGTTTGTTACCAAGGAACAAATTTTAAAATGTAGTTACTATTCCATTTATTCCCATGCTCAGAAACCCATAAATGCTCTGCCAGAGGAATATAGTCCATAGGAGGTGACTAAGTCTCAAAGAGGGAACATAAAGTGCACGCCACAGCTCCCTCACCTCTCTTCACCACAGATAAAAGGACCACCACCTCCACAGACGGCCCTGTGCTCCTCCTGTCTCACAATATGGTAGCTCTTTGAGACGCACGTCTCTCTTTTAATAATTCGTATCTTACTGTTGGCTCTCTCTCTCCTCCTACCAGCTCCCAACTGGAAGTGGATAAAATTAGGTGTAATTATTTCTCTCCTTAGTCTCCAAAGGAAGAACTAGCAGAGCTAGGAGATTTAAACTGGGCATGATGGTGCATACCTGTAATCCCAGCACTCTGGGAGGCTGAGACAGGAGAGTAGAAAGTTTTGAGCACAGTGTGGGGAACTTAGCAAGACCCTGACTGAAAATAAAAAATGAGCTGAGGATGTAATTCAGTGTGAAGGCCCTGAGTTTAATCACCAGTACTGCAAGACCAAATAAACAAACAAAAATAAAACTCAATCAGACCAGGCAGAGTCAGAGAAACAGCCCAGCTCTCCTAACTGGGCCCAGTACCTTCTCAGCACCAGGATTCAAGCATACTTAACTATTCTGCTTAAGAAAAGGCAGTCATAACAGAAAGTGGTAATTAACTTCAAAACTTAGAACATTCTTCAAACCAAACTTGTGGCTGTGGGTGAAATGTCAGCACCACATGTTTGTAGCAAATGGCCCTGTGTGAAACCTTCCTCCTTCACCCCAAGCCTTTAATGCTTGCTTCAGGAATGCAGAACACAGGTAATCAGACCTGCGTTCATGCTGATGGAAAAGGCTCCTATCTGGAGCCACCCAGATAGCTCAGTGGACTAAAGGTAGTCCGCATGCTTAGGTAGGCGCAGAGACCGGGGTTTGATCCTGGCATGCAGTGCCAGTCCCACCCCCGGGGCGCACTGAGACAAGACTGAGACTAAGAGTGGTGGTACGCGCCTGTAACCCCAGTGCTTGAGAGGCTGAAAACAGGA